TAACGTCCTCGGGGCTTGCCACACTAACGTCCTCAGGGCTTGCCATACTAACGTCCTCAGGGCTTGCCACACTAACTGCCGGCTGAATCGACCCGGGAAAGTGCCTTATGGTGGGGTAAGTTAAAATGCTGGCTCAATTTACCCCACAGCATTTGGCTCACTTTGCCCCATAGCTGACATTTTGGAAAAACAAAACTAGCTAGCTTACCAATTCAGGCTAATATTTAGCTAAATTATTTACATGGTTTTATATGTTGCTAAATCACCTATATACATCATCAATATTTTTAGACCTGGATAAATTTGCTTTGATGTAACAGCAATTACATCTGGCATGCTAAAATTTTACTTTGACAAGCCAAAAACAAGTTATGGGTGTACTCTTCCACTCCTCCCATGTGTTTCTCCTTTTCACAGTCTGACAGAAATGATAGGTGGTTCCAAAATACATGGTCACATGACAATAAAAGTGTACAGTTGCCAAGATACAGGGGTGGGTCAACTTACCCACTGGCTCAACTTACCCCACTCTCCCCTATTGAAGGAAATTTAAGTTTGGTGCAAAGCATTCTAGAAATGCCTTTTCAATTTAAGCGTATTTTTAATGCTTACTTAAAGTATCTTAAGAGGCAGGTTAATTAAGATGCCTATGCTAGGCCTATGCCTAAGGCTTTGTGTTGTAAGTCAATTATTTAAACCATGGAGGTTCAGCTAAGAAAAAAGGTTTGAAATGTCTGTTCTAGAGTATTAAATATTCCCTCTGTATTCTGTCCCAGCGTGGAGAAACAGCTTTGCACATGGCTGCCCGTGCTGGACAGATGGAAGTTGTTCGCTGTCTTCTGAGGAATGGAGCCATGGTGGACGCAAGAGCAAGGGTAAGACAAAGGCATGATTCGGCAGTGAAAGGTTCACTTAATATTGAGAATTGTGCAGTCCTCCTGTCTTATTAGAGGGGAAATAGGTATTCCAACTGCATTGCACTGTCATAAGGAGTGGGCAACTACTATACGCTTTTAAGGGTCTGTTGGAGCAGGGTGGCCAAAGGCTGACAAAATGCAGATATTTACCCCATATATAATACATGTATAATACAATATAATACAATACATGTAATGACAACAAATGAGACATACACCAAACTGCTAAAATTAAACTTGGAAATTTAACACAATATTTACTCAAAATGTGCTTATATGTACCAATATCACTCTTCTCACCCATCAGGAGGATCAGACTCCGCTTCACATTGCATCTCGTTTGGGTAAGACAGAGATTGTCCAGCTCCTGCTACAACACATGGCTCATCCAGATGCAGCAACCACTAATGGTTACACCCCCCTTCATATCGCTGCACGAGAGGGACATCTGGACGTTACTTCAGCGTTGTTGGAGGCTGGTGCTTCTCACTCTTTAGCTGCCAAGGTCGGTGATAGCCAGATTTTACCTTTCTGTTGAAAAAAAAACGTGTTTAGACCAGTATCATTGTGGTCATAAGTTTACCTACACCTTTCAGAATCTGCAAAAGGTTTTGTCTTCTGGGAAACATGTAGCCTTTGAAGAACAGTACTAATTGAAAAAAAAAAAAAAGGTTTTAAAATGAAATAAGAACAACTTACACCTATCATACAGTTCAAAAGTGTACATCCCTGTAGATATTGCCTTCTTCAGCCTAAATTGCACCAATTGTAATAGTTGAGTCACTTAACTTGTCCTAAGTGTAAAAAAAAAAACACTCATTGATTTATCTCAAAATCATATAGTCACTGTTGAAAAGGTGTCAAATATGCAGAAGATTATTTCCTTGTGGATTCATTCATGGCAGTAATTTAAAAAAACTGAAATATTTATGTTACCTTTTATTTAATTAAAATTATTAATGTTTTGCAAATTCTGCCAAGTGTATGTTAACTTAGGACCATAAGATGTTTTCCCATTCTGGATTCCCATTCTGGTCCAGGTTAGTTCAGGCCAGTTAGTGCTGTTTTGGTGCTGTTATAGCTGGTGGATCAACATATCCAGTAAAACAAAGCTGATGAAGCTGGTTCACCACAGAAGCATGCTAGTTAAGAAACCGGGGCTGCGTTTCCCAAAAGCATCGTAAGCCTAAGTAGATAAGAAAAACAATTGTACGACTGATCTTAGTATAATGGTCTGTTTCCCAAAAGCATCGTAACTTAAGAGGCACTTGAAAATCATCGTAGAACTACGAGTGCTCTGCAGTAATCGTAAAGCCCTAAGTGCATCGTAAGAAGAGAGAGTTATGAGGTCACCTGCAGGACAACCGGCAGATTGCACCTTTAACTTTACTCAAGTGCAATGTGATTATAATATAAGGTTTTGATTGTACTTCTCTTTATTGCTCTTTTATTGTTTAAATGAATTTAAAAATGAAATAATTAAAAAGAAAAGGAAAGAAAATGAAAAAATAAAAATACACATAAATATGTATACATCGAACAGTGCTGATAAAACATGTCTGCAATAAACTTTTTTGTCTGTACCTGTAGAAATATATTGGCTAGATGAAGTACAAATATTTGTGCTCTTATCACCCTTAATATATACACTTTATATATTAATAATGTCTAAACTTACATGTTTATGTTTGAAAATAACCATCAACCATTAATCGTTCACTCCAGAAACACTTGGAAGAACTCATAAGAATTCTTATTTCATTGGGCCTTATAGGCCTTGGGTGGTTCAACAAACACATGGACATCAAAAACATTGAATCAACACGGTTGTATTGATTTGAGTCAATGAGCTGCTGTTGAAAATTGTTGTTGTCTTATTAGCCTCTTTAAGACATTGCCTAATGTCTTTCAAGAGATCTCTCCAGCTGCAGTTGCAGTCCTGACTACAACCACATATGTGACCCTGGACCACAAAATCAGTCATAAATGTTAGATGATTTATACATCAAGCTTTCCATTGATGTATGGTTTATTAGGATAGGACAACATTTGGCCGAGATACAATTATTTGAAAATCTGGAATCTGAGGGTGCAAAAAAATCAAAATATTGAGAAAATCACCTTTAAAGTTGTCCAAATTAAGTTCTTAGCAATGCATATTCCATGAAGTTTTAATATATTTACAGTAGGTAATTTACAAAATATCTTCATGGAACATGATCTTTACTTAATATCCTAATGATTTTTGGCATAAAATAAAAATCAATAATTTTGACCCATACAATGTATTTTTTGCTATTGCTACAAATATACCCCAGTGACTTAAGACTGGTTTTATGCTCCAGGGTCACATATATTCTCAAACTGCTGAGGTGTTGTGGCTGCGGTCTGCACAATTAAAGATGGAGGCTGAGGCCTGAGAGGGTTGTTTGGAGGACTAGGAGTTAGTTTGTGCTTGGAGATGGCAGGTGAAACTGATAGTTCCTCTGAGCACGAAGGACCTGACTCAGGCTCAGGTTGAGGCATCCCTACTCCATGAAGGTCAATACCACCACAAATGCCATCTGAAGTATTGACAAGGCCTTTTCTGCCTCTGCTATGAGAAGTGGGGAGTCATTGGTCCAACCACCTGTTTTTTTTATTTTTTTATTGCCAACCTCTGCAGTGCCCTTCCTTTTTGCCAGGCTTGCAAAGTCTTCTTGCGGACTTCTTGCGGACCTCTTCCCTGATCCCTTAACACCCCAGGTTGCAGTTAATTTATTAACAAAGTCCTCCCATTTTGTTTTTCCTTATTTGTATGGTGTTTAAATCTTTAAATCTGCTGGGTTCAAGGATACAGTTCTATAAGGTCATATTTCAGCACTTGACAAACGGACAGCGACTCTTAAGTAGCACGTAGAACGCGTTCTTGAGTGTTCATGTTAATTGCATTTTTTGGAAATGCACGTAGAATTGCGGCGAGCGTTCGTAACCTCGTGCCTAGAGAGCACTCTTAAGAGCTAAGATCCATTGTTATTGGGAAACCCGGCCCTGGTCAGTACATGTTTTGAATCAGCATCAAAGGTATGCTTGTAATTTCAGCAAGACATTAGAATGTTTTTTAGTAAGAAAAGTTACGAATCAGTGCTGTAATGGTAATACTGAAGAAATTATTTGTAATATTTTCTGTTATTATTGCAGATTAATCAATGACTTGATTAAGCACTATTACCTTGCCAGTTGCTCTTAATAGAGGTGTGCAACTATTTTAAATTTGCCAAGGTTTCCAAACCATAGTTTCAAGGATTATTAACTATTATAACTATAATTAACTATAAATGTAGACACAGTTATTAACATACTGCAGTTATTGTTACTGTCATTAAACTGTGTTAACCTATAGTTAGTACACATTAACCAGTCAGTACTATGTTCAGATTCCTCTGTATAAGCACTCACTGTCTCTCTGTTGACAGAACCAAAAACTACATCTGAATCATCTAGTAAAGAGCAAGCAGAACCGTTTGACAGCCAGAGCTATGCTTTCAATTCACTGGGCCCAGCCTCTATACACTCATCTCTCAAAACATTTTTAGTATGGCCATCTTGTCATAGGGCCCAGGGCAGTTGTCCACCTGACAGTATGGTAGCTGATAGAAAAACGTAATAATAACATAATTAATAACGTAAAAATTATGAACAATAATTGTAATAATTTTACAATACTTAAATTTTATGTTAATAGCTTTTAATGATTTCCTGTTCATAATAAATTGCATATTAGTATTGTGTATAATGTAATGTACATCCATTTAGGTTAGCATGTTTGACAAGGATTAGTTGATTTATCTGTATTCTGCATTTAAATATTTACAGAAAGGGTTCACACCTTTACATGTGGCATCAAAATATGGTAGCCTGGACGTGGCAAAACTACTTCTACAGCGGCGGGCACCCCCTGACTTTTCTGGGAAGGTAGGCACAAGCAAACTGAACCGACAATCGACTGTTGTGATTTTTTTTTTTTTGCAGTTGTTTATATATATATATATATATATACATAACTGGTTGGTTTTAGCCTAATGTAACCAATTTTTTGGATGTTGTTTAAAAGAAATACATTGATGCTATGTTGACTTCAAGAGTACTGGTAAGCATTGTTTTCACTGATAACATTTTGTTAAGAAAAGGAAACAACATTGCTTTTTTCCTTTTTTCTTTAATAAGGAACCAGATTTTGATTGCTCTCGAGCTTGCACTCTAATATAGACAATAACCTTACCTTCAAACTTAACACGCTATTACAATCCCTGTTAACACTGCTTTTTCATCATATATTCCATGTGTCATCAGGTTTGATTTAATGCTTTTTGCAACGCTAACAGTTCTCCCTTAATCATGTTGCACTGACCATCATCCCAGCAGAACGGTCTTACTGCTCTACATGTTGCTGCTCACTATGATAACCAGAAGGTGGCGCTCCTGCTTTTGGACAAAGGGGCATCTCCCCATGCCACAGCCAAGGTGAGAAGACATCATCTTAAAATATATACGACATGCCTTTTTTTTCTGTGAAATTTCATTTCACATTTCTTTTTTTCTCTAACTGTCTCTCTGTAGCAGAGATGGGCACCCGAGTTAGTTACTCGAACTCGAGTCGCATTTTTATAGACTTAAGACTTGACTTCAGACTCGAACTGAAATGACTCTAGACTTGACTCGACTCGAGGAAAAGGACTCGTGAATATTTTAAAAGCAACTCGAGTCTTAATCCTTGTATAACTAATATTCAAAAGGCGGACCGCATCCGCACCCTGGCATCCATACGGACTGCGAGCCGTAGCAGCACCATTTTGTGAGCAGCGCGTCAAAACAGCGGAGCGGATCATATAACAAGCGCTCGGGGTCAGTTATAGTAAATATCTTTCAGCGCTATATAGGTTGCTCTAGTATTTTTATCTAAAGCCAAACGCGCTTTATTCAAGCCATTTCAGCTCCGTGCATTTCAGCTCTCTCTTTCTCTCCCCCTCCCTCCCTCCAGACGCGCGCCGGCGCGGATGACGCGGTTATTTTACCAACTACAGAAACACGGAGAGCAGCAAAATTATAGATTACTTTCACTAAAACACAGCAGAAAAAAAAATACAATACTGCAAATGTAGTTATTTTTTTTACTTTATATTTATCTAACCTATTCAAACCAGATGTGGCAAGACGTTTCTGATCTACATTTAGCATTATTAATCTAAGAACCTTTCAAAAGAACCATGTAAATTTAATTGGGAAATTGTTGTTAGATGGCTATGATAGTGTTATGTTATTAATGTGACGGGACAAAGACTTGCTGTGGTTTCTGATCATTTATTCAGTTCGCACACACTGTAGCTGTGTCCAAAGTTGAGTGTGCACATTTCGAAGGCCACGGACTTCGAAGGCCAGGCCTCCGAAGTGCACGAAGGGCCCTCCGAAGTGCATGAAGGATGATCTGCCTTTGCAGGATTTCCTAATTGCGACACCAGAGGTTCCTGATTAGCGCTCTGTCACATGGCAACGGTGCAAGAGGAGAGCTGACGAGAGGACAATCCTGCCAGGATAGGTGGAGCCAGAATTGCTCATTTTTGTTTTATGTTTTACCTCATAATGGAGGTGATGTACCTCAGGCTTAGCCAACACCGAGGCCAGGTAAGTTACACTGGTTTGCCTCAGGTAAGTTACACTGGTTTGCCTCGTCCTTTATCAGATTACAACTTTAAATGCAGGAATTGGCTTGGAGCTTACTTGAATAATGTAATGATACATATGAAAAACTACAAAATACACACACAAAGCAGTTCAAATGCTGACTGATATCTTACAAAGGTGCGATTTTATATAGTTTATTGTCTCGACCATGGTGATCATATGTAGACAGGTTTGCAACCCGGATTGTTTTGGCAGTTAAGCATAAAAATAAAACTGTGAATAAAAAATAAATAAATAGAGCATTGTACAGCTCAATGTTCAGCGGCAGCTGTCACAGCTGAACAGAGCTCTGTTTGACCGCTCCGAGTCCTTCAGATGCAGCCTTTGATATAGTTAGCAAACATTTGTTAATATTCTGACAAAATGTTGATACTTTCATTTTCAAAATAATCAGAGGTGGACTGTAAGGAAGTACATTCGTTAAGTATACTCGTACAAATATGAAGTACTAAGTTTTCTTTTTTTCTAACAGACAGCAACACTACAAAAATATGGTATTTTACAACATGATGCATTTGTAAGGGAAACAGGTCAATTTAGCTCAAAGGGAATCATTTAAGATTTTAAAGGGAATTTGGACAGAATCACTGTTTATGTTTCAACCATGTTTTGACCAAATCTTAGATTGTCTGATTCGGTCTGATATCCTACACATTGTTGTATTAAACTACCCAACAGCATATTTAGTAGGCAACTTTAAATTTCACAAATGACTAGTAGCTTTTCCCCAATATGGTATTGGTAGTTACTAAAAGTATCTCAATATTTCTTCTACTAATTATGTTGTCATAGCGCTAAACAATTTCTCTCAGAGTGGTCTCCAGAGTGTTTGACATGCCTCGTTCCACTGTCCATCACATTGTCCTCCGAGTCGCTTAGGAGGTGCTGGCCATTCACCAAGAGATTCACCTCCTGAAGAGCCCAGAACACATGGAGGCAGGGCTGGGCTCAAAACTGATGTTGTTTAAAAAAAAATTAATGTACATAGTTCTCTTTTATTTACATGTGAATATGCAAAACAAAATTACAAATTGTACAGAAAGTACTCAGGCTCATTTACAAATAAATTACACTACAAACATGAGTAATGTATACAACTTATTCATTTCATTTTGAACTTACATCACAAAATAAACTACAGAAATTAGGTTGTTTCATTGACAATGTGACATTTAAAAAAAGATATTGAAAAACTGTAATGTACCTATTTTTTTCCACTGCTTTCTCTTGCCTAATAAATAATGTATTTGTTAAGCATTCTCTCAAAAAGAGAAAACAGTCTCTCCATTCTCTCCTTGCTCTCCCTGTGCTCTTCTCTCCTCTGTCTCTCTCTGGAGTTTGATGTCCTCCCTGAGTAGCTCCACCAGCTTCCACTCACTCCCTCACCTGTCCCAGGACACTTGCAATCCTAAGGCAGAGCAAATAAACCATGCCTGTTAACAACAACAGCACAATGAATTTCAGCAAAAATGTTTGTATTAACTTGCTTACTTTTTTAAGTCTTTCCCCAGCAAGCTCATTTTCTCCAGAATAGTACTAACACAAGAGAAAATGGAAACACTTATGAAAATATATAAAGACAGGTTTGCAATCTCAACATTAGAAAATAGGACACAGCAGGACATGCATACAAAATACTGAAGTGCTAAAGTTTGGTTAAAACATTTGTAGACATATCTTGAATGACAGCACTACAAAAACACAACAAAGGGAAAGACTATTGCCTTATATAGTGGTTGTCTTATTGTTTGTGGGCTTTGTGTTAAAAAAAACCCTGGCTTTTAACACTTTCGCTAGGTATTTGAGTAAATTAAAACACAATACTTCCATTTCAATGTGAATTCCCCCACAGAACTTTCACCTGCCCTATTCTTTGAATATAAACACCGTTGTCATCTGCGCGCAAGTGATTCTGGGATATAGTAGGGTGCGAAGTGTCCATCAGATGTACACTTCGTTTTCCTGGGAAATGGAGGGTGCATTTGAAGTCGCTTTCGAAATACGTCAGCCTTCGTCGCACCACGGTGACGCAATCAGCCTTGGAATGCAGTCTTCAGAGGGTGCATTCTGAATTGGGACAGCTTACGTCGTGACGCTGTGACGCAATCGCACTTCAAATGCGCACTCCGGAGTCCACGCATTTCAGTTTGGGACACAGCTATAGCGTTCAACACTCTCCCCTGGTGCACTACATAGAACTGCCCAGTCCGCAACACAGTACCGGAACCAAAGTTGTTATCAGGTATAACATCACATCTTTCCCCCTTTAAAAGTAAATAACTTTCCTTTGAAATATTTTGTTCTATCAATTTGTATTTGTGGCAAAAATAACATTTTCAGAACAACATAAAATGCACCACAGAATTTTCACAATTAACTTTTTTTTTTTAAAACAAATTTCAGTTAACCTTTCAGGAGGTCTAACAGTGCGTTTTGGTCTGCAATACTTCCCAGGTGAAGCAGTAACTTCCTTTGTCAAATCAGAGTCGGTGTGATCCACAGAACTGTTGTCAGCCTGTTCACTTGTGGAAATGTCAGACACATCTTTGTCATTTGACTTTGACTCGGCTTCTTGAACAGTCACTTGTGGTCTTAAGTCCCCTCTGTTCCTTCTTAGAATTGCACCATGCTCGGTCTGAATCTCGTATGACCGTGGTATTAATTCTCTTTCAACACATCCTTGTTGCGTCCATGTTCCTTGTTGCATGATTCAGGATACGAACTCTATCTCCAGGCTTGAGTTTCTGCAGGGTTTTTGCTTTCTTAACGTATTTCTCTTTTTGTTTGGTTTTATGTTTTTGTTTAGCTTCTTTTATTTTGTTTGCCCCTGCAGGTGTCAACAGATCCTGGTGGATTGGTAAGTTAGTGCGTATCCGTCGACCCATCAACATTTGTGCTGGGGACAACCCATTTTGAAGCGGAGCACTCCTGTAAATCATCAGACTCCTATGGAAGTCTGTCTTTCCGTCGTGACTCTTCTTCATGAGAGCCTTCACAATCTTTACAGAACTCTCCGCCAACCTGTTGGACCTAGTTTGGGCTTGATGTGGTATGTTGAGATCCCCACTCTTCAGCAAAAGCATTAAACTCCCTACTGCAAAATTGTGGGCCATTATCAGAAAACACCTCACAGGGAACTCCATGTCTTTCAAAGATTGTCTTCAGAAAAGCAATGACAGCTTGGCTAGATGTCACCTGTAGTGTTGCAACTTCTGGATAGTTGGAGAAATAATCGGTAACTGCAATGTGGCTTTTACCATTGCAGTCAAACAGTTCTACTCCAACCTTTTGGTATGGATGATGAGGCACTGGATGAGGCATGAGTGGCTCTGCTTGTTGCTTAGACCTGTATGTGAGACATATTTCACATGAGGCTGTAGTCTGACTGATGTCATGGTTTACACATTACCTCACGGGGCCCTGCGCTAGCATTTCTCTTCTCCTAGATGTCCCTCATGAACTTTCTGCAGCATTTCTTTGCGAATCTATGCAGGGATGACAAACTTGTTTCCCTTGAAGATGATGTCATTCACCACTGAAAGCTCTGCTCTGCACAACCAGCAATCTTGGATTTGCTTTGAACAGTCACTTTTCTTTTCTGACCAACCTTTCAGGATGAACACTTTGAGCTGTTTCATTGTTCCATCCATATCAGTTGCTTTTCTTATTTGTTCAGTTTTCTCTGGGGACACGGGGAAGAGAGATTACAATCATGTCAACATACGCTTGTATGTCTGCACTTTTCTCACTGTTAAGGTTTTCATGCTTGTCGACTGCCCGAG